CACTGCTGGTTGGTTGGTTGTTTTTTGGTTTTGTTTTGTTTTTGTTGTTTTGTTTTGTTTTTTGTTCTTTTGAGACAAAGTCTAGTGTAACCAAAGCTGACACTTTAACTTCACTGTGTAGCTGAGGCTGACCTAGGACATTTGGTTCTCCCGACTCCACCTGGGGTTAGCAGAGTCATCCACCCGGCCCAGTTTGTGCTGTGGATCCACCCAGGGTTTTGTGAATGCCCAGATGAGTGGCTCTGTAAACAGAGTCCGATGCTCAGTCCAGTGCTACTGAATTCTAATGACAGGGCCACCTGGTGGACTTGGGCTCCAGAGACCTCGCTAGAGGAGCTGAGACAGTCACTCTGAAAGGGCAGTTGTCTTTTATTTAAGGAGAGTCATGGGCAGTTCCCCACTGTCCGGTGGCAGGCGGCCCATGCAGAGCTTTCCTTGTGCCCTCTGAGTCCTCAGCTTCCTGGGCTGGGCTGCCATGGTTTTCATTAGTCCACAGAACAAAGGAGGGTGCGAAGCTGTTTGTTATTTCACGTCGGCAGAATTAGCAGCAGCTTTATGCTTGGTGCTCCAGAAACCTGGCCTCAGCCAAGCCATGCAAATTGCTCTCAAATCTCTTATTAGGAAGGCTCTTAACTGTTGAAAGATCACAGGCCACCATGGGGCCAGAGAAACCACAGAGGTTGGGAAGGCAGGGCAGAGTGCGGGCACATTGCTGGCTTCCCAGGGGTACCTGGGGAGTAAGTGCAGACACTGGGACTGAGCTCCACCCACAGCCCTACCCTGCACATGGGAGCACCACACACATGGCACAGATTCCTAAATAAATGCCCCAGAAAGGTGATGCGGCTCTGTAAGAAAACATCATTGCTCCTCCACTTAGAAAGTTGCGAAGGGTTGGGGACAGAGCGCTCGCCTAGGAAGTGTGACACCCTGGGAAAGCCTCAGTACAAGAATAAATACATAAAATGTAGGTAAATAAAGTCCACTAAAAGCTCCTGCATCGGGCATTGTGGGTACATGAGCCCAATCGACAAAACTGCAGCTTCACAGAGCATGCTCTCAAGGGTGCAACTGTATGTGAGGCTCAGGGCAGAAGCAGCAAACATTCGCAGCATGAAACGGGTGGATGCTGTCAGCATCCTGGCCAGGACTTGGTGTTGTAGCTATGAGAGGTGTCACTGGGGCAAATTATGTCAGAGGATTTCCCTGTGTTGTTTCTCAAAACTGCATGCAGATCGGTAGTAATCTCATAATCATTTTAGAAAAGCAAAACTATATTTTGCAGAAGCCAAAATAAGAATATATAGTAGTAACAGTATCTCCATCTTGCTGGGAAGCAGGGAGACTAATGGTCAGTGCGGAGTCACCCCACCAGAGTTCATTACACAACTCCATAGGGGACGGGCCACTAGTGAATGATGCCACCACTAAAGCTTTGGTGTTGTGTCTGCAGCTTGACGATGTCACACTTCTGCTATTTAACTCTTTTGTTGTTGTTCTTACAACTGCAGAAAGTTCTAGAAGGCTGTGGGCTGGGCATCCAGCAGTAAGTCACTTAACCCTCTTGGTCACCCTTCTGAGGGGAGGAGACACAGGTGGTGTCTGAGGGACATAGAGGGTGTTAGGGTCTCCTATCGGCCCCCATTCCTGAGCACTGAGGCAGGTGTGGAGCCTCATCTGGACCCTGGCTCTACAGAGTCCACACCCACGGAGCAAAACACAGAGGCATCTGTCCTTCAGTCACCCTGAGACTGCCAGGTCCCTTGTATCTCTTCCTACCACTCTAAGAGAAACCTTTATGCTTTTCCAGAGGTGTAGAACGCCACTCCTCCCTACACCTGCTCAGCCTCTTCGTGCCTCAGGCCTCGAGCTCTGTCCCAGCAAGGGCTGACTTGGCATTTCCAGATTGTTCCTTGTCATCCCTGAGAACGCAGATCTCAGCCCTTCAGGAAAAGAGGTGTCATCAGCCACACAGCTAGGTGTTTGCAGTGTGAGCTGGCTGGTGGTAGAAGGGACTTGGGCTTCAGGAAGGAAAAGAGGCCCCAAAAATGAAGCAATGGCCTGCAGCTCTGACCACTCCACCCAAGAAAGCATTTGTACCCTGCACCACGCTCTCTGCTGGCGCCTGCAGAGCACAGGAGCCCCATAAGCTGAAGACAAGTTCTGGGGCTTTCAAGATGTGTGTCTTGTCACAGGCCACCTGGGCCTCACAAACTCCATCTGTAAAATGGACACAAAAAATGTCTGGCCACAGAGAAACACTCAAAACTGTGACCCTCTAATACAGCCCCATTCACTAGCTTCTGAATGCCTGACCAGCCCTGCTAAGGTTGTGACTTACAGGAAAGGCACAGAGCAGGATAGTCATGGTCACAAGGGGTTTTGGACAGGGGAGGGACACAGAGGGTCCCTTCTGCCATGACCACTGAGGACTGTAGAGCAGAGCAGTCACCTTGGACAGACACCCCTCACTGGGAGGGCCGTCCTGCTTTCCCAAGGTCAAATGCAGACTATCGTGTCCCATGCCTAGAATGAGGAGGTGGGCATTCTGGCCACCTGCTGTGCCACTAGCTCCGGACAGGCCCAGGCCAGACAGGCATCTTTAGAGGGGAGGAAGCCACGGCCTTAGCAAGCAGGCTGAGGCGGGCACTGAAGATAAGTATAAGCTTGAGTGTCGAAGTCCTGGCTCCAGGCTGCCTCTCTGTGCTCTCCTGGCCACATCTGGGGTGTGTGGGGGGCATGGAAGCTGTCAAGGTCTTCAGACTCGCTGGAGCACAGGCCCCAGGCAGACCCTCAACTGTGAAAGCTGTCCACAGTGTGGGTATGGGCAAGGAAGAGAGGCCCAGCAGGGTTGGGGCTCCACAGAGGCAGCTGAGACAGAGCAGGCTCCTGGGGAGGTGAGATGCCAAATGGTGCTGGGGTGGAGATCACAGAGTCCCATCTTCCTCGAAGCCCCCTCCCACCCTTTCTTCTCCTCATACTATCTGGAAAGCAGGGCTCCCTTGATCCCACCCCCGCCCAGCCCGGGGGGCTGCTCTCAGCCCCGCTGGCCTCTCCCCAGTTTCCCAGCCCCTCAGCTATCTCCCCCACCTCCCTCCCTCAGAGACCTGCCCCCTCCTTCTCTCCCCCAGTCTCCTCGGGTCCCAGGCAGGCTGCAGAGCCAGCCCTGCAGGCTTTGATGCCCTGAGGTGTAAGATTGCTGCCATCCATTGCCGAACGAAAACCAGGCTCCCGTGTATTGATTGATTGCAGCGGCTCAGGCCTTCTAAATGGAGGAAGGAGAGTGGGGTGACAGGCATGCTGCCAACCCTTCCGCTGTCCCTTCTGCCTGGAAAGGACCTTCACAGTGAAGCACAGAAGGAATGCTAGCCAGCAAGGAAGATAAGGAACCAGGACCCCACTTCGAGCCAGGGATTTTTCCCTATGTCGGAATTGCAGCTGGAGTTGATGTCCCCGGTATTCTGCTCAAAGCCATTCTTAAGGGTCACAGTGTCTCCGATAGGCATGAGAGGTTAGTGGTATCTGTTGTCAAGATATCAAGCAGGCTAAGATACTCTCCACAGGTGACAGGTGACCCTCCAATGTGCCTAAAATACACCTGGCCCCTAGAGGGCGCTCCAGAGTCCCCCTGCACCTCACTGCTTTCAGCTGAGTTGTCCCCTGGTATCTGAGCCTCTGTCAACTGGGGTTTAACTGACAACCTGTGTCTTCACAGGAAGGGATCATGCTGGGTCTCCATGAGTTTGAACAGAAAAGCAAATTAATCTTCCGTGTGTTGGAAGAGGGTTAAGGTTCCAGCAGGGATTCTGCAGGGTGATCGGCCATTGCTGGGAAAGAAGCTTGTGTAACATTTTCCTGGGAAATCTGTCAGGATGGGTCTGTGGGGCCTGCACTTCCTGCAGGGTGTGGTTTTCATTTGACAAAAATCATAACGAGATGAGTAAAAGTGTCACCTTGTGTTTTTGAAGCACCTGGTATTCCAAGGACATTTTTAAAGGATGGAATGAGACAGCAGGCTGGGGAGACGGCTCAACAGATAGGGGTGCTTGCTGCAAGCCAGACAACCTGAGTCTGATCCTAGAACCCAAAGTGGAAAGAGAAAACCGTCCCCGCAGGCTGTGCTCTGACATCCACACCAGAGCCATGACATGTGTGTGCACACCACACACACACACACATACACATACACACCACACATAGATACACCACACACACACACATACAACACACACACACATACATACACCACACACACACACACACATACATACACCACACACACACATACATACACCACACACACACACACACACATACATACACCACACACACACACACATACATACACCACACACACACACACACACACCACACACACACACACACACACCACATTTTATGTTTTAATTAAGAATGAAGGAAGCCATAGTGACTATTTTCCTACGTGGCAAACTCCTCTACAGTGTGGATGTGCCCTCCACTTCATGTTGAAGGTCCAAAGAACAGTTCTCAGCTGGACCCTGCAGTCAGTCAGAAGACTCTGGTGTGGAAAAGGTACCCGGGGACAGGCACTCACTACGGGCACACACTAGCAATCTCCCTGGCCTAGGAAAGTGACCACCGGCATCGGAGTGATGGGCCCCAACCTTCCCGGCCTTGGTAAAGACCCCAGACCCTAGCTCCCATCTGGCCCCATAAACCACACGAATCCAACAAGTTCACAGATGTGGCAAAAGAGCCAGGGTTTGGATGGAGCCCACACGACTTTCCTGTTTTGAGCCCTCACATCTGAGATCTTGCAAATAAAATTCAAAATGTAAATATGGGGGCATCCATTAGGGGCTGGCGTGGGTTTGATGACAGCTGGGGTCACTTACTATCCCCTGCTCCAAGGTGGGAAAACATTACCCCACACAGAGTTCTCAGCCCCTGCTCGTCACCCACGTCCCTGCCTCAGCAACACCGCACTGTGTCTTAAGAATAAGCAAGAAAACACGGGCCACTTGCCTTCCATTTATTATGCCACACTAACAGTTTCATTAGTTGCCTAGAAGCCTTTCTGCCTTTATTTTATGCCCAGAGGAAAATACTCCTGCAGAGGAGCAGGCTGTGTGCTTTTGACCACTGTCAAGAGCATATTTCCCTGCACACGGACAAAGCTTGAGACACACAGGCAGCCGGATCCTTAATATCGGGTTTAAAACAGTCTTCCAGTGAGCTTGCTGCTTGAGAAAATTTAAACACGCTTTATTTAATAATGTCCCGTTTGACTCATTCGATTTAAACATTTGCTCCGATCAGCAATCATCTGATCCCCACTTCGTTTCCAGCCGAGGGCTAATTTCTCTGGGTTATTTTTCTTTGGAGATGGGTGAGTCCCAAGGCAGGGCGGCTCTCGGGAGGAAAGGGAACACGGCCGGCTGGCGGGCCATGAGCAACAGCTGCCCCAGGCTTTCATGATGTTTATGTGGTCGTCCTCACATCTATCTGACTAAAGACAGAAAATATAATTTTAAAAACTACTATGGCCAGATAATTAGAGTGAGATTTAAAAAAACACAACATCAAAATGTGAAGAAATTCGCAATAAAGAGGTGATTTTGGCGGGTAATATATCCTGCTGTCAACCCACCCTCCACTTTTTCCCCATGGGGATATTTTTGTGACAACTGTCTAAACAACTGTGGATGGCCATTCGGCACCAGTTAAGGCTCTAAGAAGGGGAAAGGAAGGAAGTTTTATTTTAAATTTCAGTCCACTATGTTTTAAAAAAAGGAAGGAAAGAAAGAAAAGAAAATTCGCTTCAACGTGTAGACTTCAGGGACAGTTCACTAGTTTTGTTTTGGATTTTTTTTTTGGTTACTGGTGTTAAATTTGATAACTTAACTAATGCAATATTAGAAAACAAACCTTGCGTTTTTATCTCTTCATGCTGCCTTCACAAATAGCAGGCTTCCCTGTTGAGGGGGTCCATAAAGCCATCCTTAACCCCACAGACACCAGACAAACTGACAACCCTCCCTGGTGCAGCTCCGGGTGAACCGCCTGGGCGATGGTGGAGAGTGGAGGGACTCTGACCTTATCTTGGCAACCCCTGCATGGGGGCTCTGCTCCCACAGGGGTGTGTGTTCTGGTGAAAGCAGCAGTTATTGCTGGAGAGTGCCACCCCGCCGGCTGTCTGAGCCCATGTCCTGACCTGACGTGTTTACCTTGAAGTGATTTACAGCGCCCAGGTGTTGGCTTGGGAAACATCTCCGCAATCGGACAGACCTTAACAGTTGGCGAGTCCAAAAGACATTTAAAAATAAAATGTGCTGGTCCAAAGTAGGTTCCTCCCCTGTTATTTTAGGACAGGGTCTCAACAGCCACACTGGCCCAGTATGGCTGCACTAGCCCCACAGGGGAAATCGCTCAGCTGCCAATCCAGGCTGGTTTCTTCCCTTAATTTCCAATCATGTTTGTAACATCATGGAACAGAATGGCATCCCTGACTTCCAGGGCTTCCCACCCAGCCCTGCCAACCAGCTTGAACAAGGCATCTGGGGAAGGCGGCTTGCTCCCCAACTCCCACGGGGATCCTGGTTGGCATTCGGCTTTCAGGAACCCTTTGGAGACCAGAGTCCTGTCACCTCTGCGGCTTTGCCCGCAGGTGACTTCAAGATTATTTAGCACAGTTTCCTGAAAGCCCAAGCAAGCCTCAAAAGAGACTCTGGGGTTTAAATGTGGTCTTTTTAGTTTGGTTACAGAAACATATTTAATTTTTTTTTGTCATTCTGAGCTCACCAACATTTAAAGGAGTTTGACTATTTCTTGTATATCCATTTTTGTGTTGTCCCGACTTTCCCTCAGATACTACTGACACTCGAGAAAAATCCAATGCGTGGAAGCATGGGTGCCCACAGGGATGGAGGATGAGGCTTTATTTCTGTTTTCATTTTTAGAAACAACTTTCCTACCGATTTCGGGGGTGCTCCGCTGATGGTAAAAGCTCATTTAGCCTTAGCGGGGCTCTTTTCCCTATTTTCTACCCTTAATGAAATGGAAGAGCTATCTTTTGCCTCCCTCGAAAGATCCGCAGACAGAAAGCATGTGGCTGATTGCAGTGAGCTAGAGTGCAGGGGCCATTTGATGCCGCCGTGGCAAATGGCATAATTTAAGTCTTTTAAGCCAAAGATCTGAATGCTAACAAATTCCCTTTAAAAAAAAAAAAGATTTCAACCTCTCCTTGCATGTGTTCCTCTCTCCCTGGGCTCTAAATACACATCTCTCCCCAACATAAAAAAAAATTGATTTGCCATCGTAGGCACGGGAACTAGCGTGATTGTTGAAAATTACTAGCCCTGGGGCAAGGGGGGGATATCCCGCAATAAAACAAAAACTTGTATTCACAGACGCCGGCTCACAGCAGCCGCCGGCTCAGGACTGTGGCTGCCCAGCTCTGCGGTGCCCCGCCTCCTTAGCGGCTGCACCGACGTGGAGGAAACGGTTTTAAGCAAAGACCATGTCTTTACGGTGTCCCGCACACCTGCGTCTGTCTTAATCCAGAGGGGACACCCAGGCGGAAGGCAATGTGTGATCACAGCCGAGCAAAAAACTACGTGAGGCCGTGTGGCTGATGCTGTTTTAAATGAAGGTGAAGAAAATCAGCCTGACGCTGCGTGGCATAAAAACAAGCCCAAGGCACGATTGCCGGCTCCATTTAGTTAACCTCTGCTGGAGCTGCGGAGCCCCAGCCTAGCAGGTGACTATGGAAAGATGATTTTTTTAAATTGTAAATTACAAGGATTAAAAACAAAACAAAACAACCCCCCTCCAAAAAACCCTGAAGGCTATGCTAGCACATTGGAGGGAGCAGTGAAACCCAGGGCCGGGTAAATAGCTAAACAGATTTAGTAGCCTTACTTAACATATAAACATCTGAAAACCGTTTCCTGTTTAAGAAAAAAAAGTCTAGGTAGGCGACTTCAAGCATTTTTTTTTTGATTAACAAATGTGAATTGTACATCGTGGTGGGGAAAAAATGATCCACACTTGGTGGTCTTCCGAAGCTCCGTGTATGGGAGAGAGAGAAAAAAATACAAAAATAAACGTTACCTCTCTCTCTCAGGGTGGGCAATGCCATTTCTCCAGGCGTCGAGGGCTCTGGCTAATGTTAGGGCTGTCACTGCAGGCAGAATCCCCAGGGCCTGCGAGCCTCATTCCTCAGATGCCTAGTGCTGGGCCCTATCTCCAGGCCTTGGACCCAGTTCTGCAGGCTGGTCACCCCATCAAGTGGCCTGGTCCATGGCCTTCTAGACCCTGCGGGTCCCCAGCGAGCCCTGCAACAGAGGAGAAAACAGAGACTATTAATTTGCTGCTTGAGCTAGAGGCCACAATAAATTGGTGCTCCGTCCACGCGGACAAAGCGCCAGCTGCGATTTGTTCCTCAGAAAAGAGCTTAGGGGTTCTGGCACTTTCTGACAAGATACGTTTTATAGGATTTGTGCTAAAATTTGATATTGGATGTTAGGAATTGCAGTTTAATGTCTCCAATGATAACAACAGCAGCTGGGACCCTTAACAGCTACGGGGGTCCTTTCTAGTCCAGAGTTCCACAATAAAAGCTATTTATGTCAGACACCTTATAAGGGAAAGATTTAGCCCTAAAGTCAATATAACATATAATACTTTTTATATCTGGATAAGGGGGAAACTCCATGATCAGAGATGTATATTGGTTTGGGTCTGGGCTGTTAGACATGAGGGGGCTGTAAATACTGAAAACATAAAGCCTCCAAGCACCTCTCTTTCAATACTATTTATTCTTAGAAAACAAAGGTTGCTTCGTTATTCAACTTTTAATTGTTTTTCCGAGTCCTGGTGGTAAGCAGACAGGGATGGGTGGGTTTGATTTGATTTCTACAACTTCCAAATGCACCCCGAATTAACCCCTGGTTGTTAGAAATCAAAGACTCTTATTTCCTAGTACCGACTTGATTTGGGAGATGGATGAAGGTGTATCTCAATCCCACAGAGGGACCCTGTCAGTATCTTATGGAAAAAAACTTGCCCAGTGAAGGAACGGTGACCTGCCACTCACTCCGGTATTTCCAGCCTGAGTTGAGAGGAGCTCCTGCCTCCCCACATTTTCCTGGACACAGCCCCCCAGAGTTTTCTGAGGAAATGGATGGCAATTCTTGCTCACAGCGGGAACCTGGAGCCAGCACATAAGGCCTGTCCAGCAAGGGCTGCTCAGAGCGGCCCAGCTCCCTCCTTATCTCTTCAACTCAGACAAAGAGCAGGACATCCTGGAGACAGAAGAGCACCCCAATTAGCAGAGTCCAGGGGTTCACGGAGTCCAGGGGTTCACGGGCGTCTCACGCCACATATGCAGGGCTCTGCTCCTGGGGACTTTTTAGCTAGCAGGCAGCCTGTCAGGGTTTAGGCAAAAGCTCAGTTGGGTTGTAGTTCTCTTATTCACGTGCTTTGGGCTCCTGGGCTCGGCCCTATTCCTCCACAACAACATGGAAGCCCTGCTTGTTGTAGAACTGGTGAAAATTCCATTTCTGTTCACTTGAAGCCATCAACAGCTCCGTATACTCAGCAACAAGTAGTCTCAGACTCCTGCTCTGTGACCATAACTGAAATGGAAGGACAGACAGACAGATGGACTTTGAAAAATGATTCTGGCTTCTCCCCTTGCCTCCTGCTCCAGGCTGGACAGAAGGTGGTCTCTTTTTGCTTTAGAATACGGGGTTGGGGGTACCAACCATACTGTGCTTCTGTCTGCAGTTTTGGCCCCTAGACATCAGTAGCATGGAGGAGCCCCCCCGACTTCATGTCAGTGGTGGGGGAAGGCAGCAGGTGGGACTTTATTCTGGTAATGTGATTTCTGCTAGCGACAGCCTTGATTCTGGACAGGAAGCGGGCAGAAGCCAGTTGAAAATGCTGGTAGCTTAGCACTTCTCAGGTAAATATGAAACCATAGGTGTAGGTGAAAGTTGTCTCCCACTCTGGAGACATTGGTGCCGATATCACTGTCCATTCTTATCACCAGGACAGATGGAGGAAAATTAGCAGTTCCTCACAGCCTCATGGAAGGTTAGCCTGTGGTGTGTAGAGAAGCTCACTTGACACAACAGCCCTACTGCACGGGGTCCGCCATGTTCTTCATTTTGTAGCTAGGGAAACTGAGGCAAAGACCAGACTGCCGGATCTTGACAAAGGCTATAAGGCAGGAAGGGGGTGACTATGCCCCCAGGATGTGGTGACAGGAGTTTGATAGTTGTAGCTAAAGCCAGAACATTCTACTTCCTGGGCGAGTCCCTGTGCCACACTGAGTCTGGGATGACCATCTGTGAGGTCTCAGTGGCAGTGGCCTCCACTAGTAGCTGTCATCAAAGATACATGGCCACAGGTCTTGCCTCTGGAACCAAGCTGGGAACTGTGGGTGAGTTCTTGGATGCCCCCATTGGCTAAGCTGCAGGGGCAGTGCTGGAGCATACCCTAGCATTGGGGCTCACCCAGGCTAACTGAATCTGCTGGCATCAGATGCCATCAAGTGCCAATTGGGGGTGGGCACCACACCCCATGCTCCAGTCCTCCCCAGGGGAACTTACCAGCACCCCCACAGTCAGCCCCAAGTCTCACGGCATCATCCTGGGAACCAGGTCCTGACACAGCATCACTGAATGACACAGGGACCTGATGAGCTCTTGGCCATCCCACTCCATCCATCCATTGGCTTCCATCATGTCTGTTTGGACACAAAACTCTTTTCCACTTTCTACAAAGTCCTTCTGCCCAGCCTCTTCCAGCATTATATGGAGGCTGAGCAGTGAGCCCCAGGAATAATAAACAGCGCATATCCTGTGGCCAGCTCCCAGGCAGGCCTGGGGCTCTCCTCACAGCCAGCTGGGGTTCTGACACTGAGACCAGGAAGCAGGGGCAGGGGGCTTGAGAGATGATGTCTGGAAATCCCAGAACCAAACCCTACTTCTGTCTCCTATGGACAGTGCTGGGCAATCCAGAACCAAATCCTACTTCTGTCTCCTATGGGCAGTGCTGCTCAGTTCAGTTGCTTGCCCTCTCCAGATCCCAGTTCCCTAAACATAATAGGACGATAGTGACAGCCTAAGGGGACATCTCCTATTCTCAGAAAATGTGTTGCTATCTACCCAGACAGTAAAAGGGAAACACGTGATGGTGCAGAGAGTGAGAACTTGCTTTTAAAAATTGGAAAGCCAGCCCACAATGGACAGAAATAGCGGCATGGTGGGGCAATGTTGGGGTGACCCACTACTCTAGGAAAATTATTTTTACGTGTGTGTTTTTGTTCGTTGCCCCTTTGCCAGGCAACCCTGGGCAAATTGCTTCATGCTTCTGGATACGTTTCCCTAGTTCACCCTCTACTTTCTTCCTTTTATTGCTGAATAAAATCCTCAGCCATCAATGTAAGCAAGTACACCCTTCCCAGCACCAGTTTGTTCCTATATTTAAAGCCCCAAGCCAAACCCTCCGACAGAATGGGCCACCCCTTTCCTGTCTGGTACATCTTTCTCTGCTATCTCTCTCTCTCCTTTACCCGGTGTCCCCTCTCACCCTCCACCTTAGTCTCTCACTGAGCCTGGAATTCAGTCAGTGGCCACCAAGTCACAGCAATCCTCCTATGTGTCCCCCCACCCCCTGCCACACACACACAGGGGTTGCAGCTGCCCATTTGACCAAACCCATCTTCTTACACGAGTGTTAGGCACTTTCACCTACTGAACTCTGCAGCCCCTCCCGACACTTATTAAGAAGCCCATAGGAGACGTAAAGGACCATCACCCAGACAATACACAAAGGTCAAAGTGGGGTGGGGATGACCCCGAGGTCCTTGCTGTGAACTTAAGGAAACTTCCTGAACACATTCTGAGAAGTAGATTGGGTGTAAAGACTTTTCTCCCATTGCGGTGATTTCTTTGGGGGTCAGGCAGCTTTGTACATGAGAGCGATGAAAGGCCAATTATTTGTGGAGACGTTGGGAGACGTATTTCAACTAAATTGGAGTAGACTCTAAAAAGTAGAAAGAAACAGTAATACACACACACACAGAAAGAGAGAGAGAGAGAGAGAGAGAGAGAGAGAGAGAGAGAGACTCCCTGTGCATATATATCCCCTCCTGACACCCACCTGCTCAGGAGCAAAGTGAGGGCTATAGGCTCTCAGGATCCCCTCAGCCCAGGGCTGAGGCTCACATGTGTATGGAGCCATGGGCCCACAAACATGATGCCTGTGGTGGGGCAGGGTATTCTAGAACAGAGTGTCAGATGAGTCCACACTTCCCTGTACCATAGAGCCACCCAGGTTGATCTTAAAACAACCCTCTCCTCTTGTCAGCTGGCTCCCGTCTCTGAACGTAAGAACACTTGGGAGGAGGGGTGTCGGCAGTGCTCCTTCAGGACTGGCAGCACCCAGATTGGCTAATGATGTCTGCACAGGACATGCTGCCAATTTGTCCCCGCTGAACTGAAGTTTGAGGAGGTCAGGGGCTCACCTAGGCCTCAGGTGCTGTAAAGTTAGGGCTCAGATCTGGATCCCTCAATGGCACCTTTTCATCCAAGAGTGGAATGTTCAAGTAGCAGGTCCCATCTTTTTTTTGGGGTGGGGGTGGGGGTTGGAGACAGGGTTTCTCTCTGTAGATCTGGAGCCTATCCTGGAACTCACTCTGTAGACCTGGCTGGCTTTGAACTCACAAAGATCTGCCTGTCTCGGCCTCCCATGTACAGGCCCCATCTTAATGGCTCTTCCAGTTCACAGTGGCCAGGCTGAAGATCTCACCAAGCCCCTCCAAGATCCATGTGCTCTGCAATTTCTAGTAAATAAGTAAAAATTTGATTCTAAAAAGTTACGAGGCAAAAAAAGAGAAGCCTGTGTTATAAGGAACACAGCCCAGAGCTGTACAAACTAGAAACCACTCACAAGATAAATTAATGGGAGATTAACCAGGAAAGTGAATAGACATCTTTCTAAAAATCTGCTTTACAAGGAGCCCTGCACTCCATGTTGGATTTCCCTATGGTTTGGGGGAGCATTGTGAATTTTCCACATAGTCATAAGAACACCATGATCACTGCAAGGTTTGTCTTGATCTGCCCCGTGCTGAGACCTCAGAGGTCTTGAGAGAAGAGACACTGTGAAGTTGCTGCACATAGACTACGACAAAGCCAAGCAAGGCTTAGGAAGGTGTTATTCAAAATAAAATCAAGTCTGGTGTGGTGGTGCAGAGGCAGGTGGCTCTCTGTGAGTTAAAGATTAGCCCGGTCTACACAGCTGGTTCTAGGTCAGCCATAGTAAGACAGCAAAACCCTGCCTCAAAAAGGGTGGGGGGAGGCAAAATGAAGTCCATATTAAATTTCAACATACAAATTGCATACAAGTTCTCTCTCCCTCCTGTTTATCAAATCATGATTTTAATGTGAGTTGATTTGGGAAACAGAAACATAGATGAGGTGGGCTATTTTCCCAATGAAATAATATAGGTTGTGTGGGAAGGGAGTTACTGTTGACGGTGGGAACCGGAACCCTGCGTCTGGCTTCCGAAGGGAAGTAAAGGAGGTCCAAATCATTTTTATCTTCCCAGACCAGATGTTGCAGGGCAGTGGGTTTGTCCATGGTTCTGAAGCCTAGCAGTCAAGGTGAGAGGTAGGTGTGTGAAAAGCAGGTCCCCGTGCCCTGGATGGAATTGCCACAGGGCACTCCCTCTGGGACCCAGCCCCACACCAGGGTGGGCAGACATGGGTTTTACCTGCACTTGTCTCCTCTGCTAATCTGTGCAGCCAACAAATGGCATAGCTGTTCCAAACAGCCCTGGAATGTGGGAACAGGAGCCAAGACTGGTGGAACCCCTTTCTCTGGTTTAATGTCCATCATGACACCCTTTCTCCTTTCTTTCCCAAACCCCAAACTGGACCTTTATGAATTAAATCCAAGAGTAACTTTCTAGAATGTGCAATATGGAGCCATGCCTTTCGGGCTGTGGTGGGTGACTTCGGCTCGCTGCCCTATGTCAGACCAATACTATTTCCTATCACTATAAATAGGGGGTTTGCTCAGAGGGGACAGCCCAGTACTCCTGTCTGCTTTGTACTTTAATCAAGGTTTTCCTGCCAGTGATGTTTGTCTTCCAGCAAAGGGGTGCTAATTTTATCTTGCAAAAGTGGATATCTGCTTACGTCCCTTCTACCTTGGAGAAAGATAACCAAACACGGGTTATGTCATCTAAATTCGGCAAACCTCCGAGATCAAAGGCATAGTGTATACACCTGCCAAAGTTGATGGAATGGCCATTGGCGGAGCCTTCCGCCTGGCTCGCATGTGCCCCATTGATAGACGCTCTGGCTTTCTGTGAAAGAGACTCTCAGGGCTCTGTTTGTGCCAGTTGATCTCCATGATACCGGGAGGTTTTGAAGGGAGAATCCAAAATAGATTTGCCCCTGTCACCCCTGTGGAAGCTCTCATCACAGGAAATGGCACAAATTCAAAATTTCATAATGGGAGCAACATCGGACTAGATAAGCCGTCTGCTCTTGCAGGGCGTTTCGTGTTTAGCGTATAGTCAGAATGATCCATCGCCAACGCCACCTGGGCATGTCTGCTCTGATGTGTGTCCTGCGTCCGGTCCAGTGTTGTTCATTTTCCAGGACTCCATGCTATTGTAAGCACACCCACCCAAGCATAGTACAGTACACACAGACACGCAGACATACACACACATACACACACACACACACACACACACACACACACACACACACACTTGAAGTAAACGGTCATAAAACTGGATGCAATGTTCTGATCAGTCTTCCCCCGTACTGACCCAGTGAGGTATCATTTATGTTAAGTTTTACTTTGCTGTTTTTCATGGTTTTACTAGTATGCATTGATGATATACCACAATGGGTTTCGTAATGACATTTGCACTACCGTATGTAACATACGTTGGTCATGTTTACTTCTGTCACCCTGTCTTGTCCCCTTTCATTTGCACTGACCCTTGCCACCTGCTTCTCTCTCTACTTTCATGACTTCTTTTTCGGTGACTGAATGAGTTTCACTGAGGCTGATCACAGGAGTTCCGGCTCCGGCAGCTGCACCATGAACAAAATGACTCTCCCTATACAACAACCGGAGCCTCAGAGCAGCAGCACGAGTGCTCCTGCCCACAGCAGCCGACCTCCAGTGGCTGAGGGGACACAACCTGTGAGGATCTGATTCAAGAAGCCTCATGAGGCAGGGTACTAAGGCCGATGAAAAGAAGGCCTGAGCGTCCAATGAAGAGGCTTCCTTCCAGGACAAAAGTCGAGAAGAAAAATCCCTAAAAGTCTGAACGCCCCTCTTGACTCAGGACAGGTGTACATGGATGGAGAGTTTGCTGTGATGCTTGAAGCCTGTGTACCCCACAGCACACACAGAAACACAGTGTCCCCTCAGAGAGCACGAGGACACACAGCAAGGCCACTGGTGCCCACAGGCCCAGTCTAGAGTGTACACGGTCTCAAGTTCCTTCTATAATGCTGCAGACACAAAAATCTGAATCACTTTAAATTCCAGGCTGCAGGGCACAAAAGCCACACTCTGAAGGCCTTAGCTGTATCCCTGCACACCAGGAAGGGCACACACCACTGCGCAGGGGTTAGGGGAGAGGGCTCTATCTACTCTGCAAAATCGAGTTGCTTCTGGTTCCATGCTTGTTTGTTTGCTAATCTGCTTTTGTTATTTGGCCAGCTTTGTTTGCCAAACTCTAAGCAATTCTCCAGCCTCAGCCTCCCAAGTGCTAAGATCTCTGGGAGGCGCTGTCTCACCCAGCTATTTGTAATTTCACCTCCTGAAGTTAGAATTGGTAGAGCCTTGTTTTCCCAGTGTCCCAGTTCAGGTTAGACCACACAGCTCAATACTCAGTTACTTCAGCCCTCCAGACTGCCGATGCTCCAGAAATGACCTGCCACAGAGGCCAGCACGCACCAGCTGCACTCTGTCAGAACAGGCAAGTCTCCATGTTCTGGGTCACAGGTGCCTGTGTGTCAGTGTATGGTGTATATACGTGTGCTTTATATGTGTGTGTGTTGAGTAAGTCACCTGTGCACACAGGTAGTTTGTGGCTTGGGTGTAAATGTGAGAATGCTGTTGTTAGCCCAAGGATGACCCCAGTCCTGCTTCAGTGAAGCTGGCCCTGAGTTAGAGATTCTGAAAACCACGACTGCCCAGTGCAGGTGTGACCTCCTGCCTTCCTGATGAGAGCGCTTTTACCATACCTGCCTGGCGCTGCAGTTATCCCCCGCGAGATTACAAACCCAGTAGAAGCAGAGATTTCCGTGGGCTGGAGAGCGAGGTGTGCGATTCTGCTGCTTTGGATCAGATCTGAAAACTGAAGTTCGAAGTAAAGTTTATTTACGTAAGATGATCCCACTTTAAACCTTGCCAGCTGTGTGCCATGGAAACCCAGAACCTGTCTATTCTGTTCATTTATACTAGCACAGAAGCTGCCCTCCGCCAAGCCCTCAATCTTTTCCAAGCCTCCAATCCAATTTCTGCAACTGCAGCCTGGCACAGCTGGCTCTGGAGTTCCGAGCAGTGTGACCACAGGTCTTGGATCCTTTGGATTTGAATTTTTCATGCAAATATGTCTTAAATGTCCTCGATCACCTAAGCAATGACAACCGTGTTCCTTTTCACTGCTCCATCACATAGGCGTACCTGATTTACCTGCTGACCTGGTGACAGTCTTTGGGGCTGTATTCACCTTTGGCTGTTGTGACTGAGACTCTGAGCACTTGTCTGCAGCCTTTTTGTGAATGTGTGCTTTTAATTTTAACCTCTCTGGAAGGTGGGAATTTCTACCACACTATAGCTTCCATTTGCATTCTGGGGTGATGGCGGTGCCAAGTGTCCTACTATGTGCCTGCTGGATCTTCCTGCCTCTGTGTGGGGTCTGTGCAGAAGTATCAGCCATTTAAAAAATTGAGGCGTTAACTTAATGATGAGTTGTAAAAGTTCTAGATGTATTTTGGATACAAGACATTTTTCAGATAAACATCTTGAGACCATTTCTTACAGTCCTTTGTTTGCTTTATTTGTTTGTTGTTGTTTTTTAATCTCCAAAGAGAAAGCTTTTAAATGTCTGCAGATCCTGACTTATCTATGCAACTAGATGAATTTGTGTTTCTGCAGGTTTCTTCTAAAAGATCCATGTATTAGCTCTTATACTGAGATTTCCAGTGCGTTTGAAATGAAGTCTTGTCTGCAGTGTGAGACAGGGGTCAGGTGTCCCCTGTGCAACTCTGCAGCTCCTCCTGATCCAGCGGAGGAACTCCCTCTGGTTCTTACTGAGGATTACTGAACTGTAGCAGACACCTTCTCCACGGCACATGTGACGAGCAACGGACAAGTGAAGAAACAGCTTGATGGCAGTCCCAGGACCAAAGCAGAATTCTTCCTTTAGTGAGCATGTGACCGTGCATTCTGGAAGCCCTGCAGGTTCCTATTCCTTTCTGTTCCAGACAGACTCTTTTCCAATCTCTCTTGTGACTGCCTGTGAGCACATGGCCCTGCTTGGCCAATCAACCTTCAGGGAGAGTTCACAGAAAGATTAGGAAATGTTTTCCCTTGAGAAAAAAAAAAAAAAAAAGAAGTTAGTCTCCATTGAGCTGCTGATGGAGGCAGCCATGTTCAGACATGGTACCTAAAGACTCCTGCCAGGCAGGTCAGGAGAGCTGCAGGGATACCCAAATGAACCCCATTACTCTGCCGAGTCCAGCTTCTTACCACAGGCCACAGCGCCTTGTCTATATTGTGTGTTACACTAGATGGTATTTTACTATTTAGAAACAGCGCAGGCTTCACGCCCAAAGCTCTAGTCTAGAAAGTAACTTTCTCTCAAGTAAATTAAGTAACTGACTGTTTTCATCACCAGCCCTCTAGGAGGAGCAGAAGAATCAAGGATCAGGACCCAAGGGCCTCAGAAGAGAGAGCAAACAGCCTGAGAGCAGAATCTGGGTTCTAATGCTGCCATTCCTCAGCATCTCCCATGCCTGTGCACGCACCTGGGGGGAGCATCTGCAAACTCTCTTACCTCCGCATCTGCAAACTCTCTTACCTCTGCATCTGCAAACTCTCTTACCTCCGCATCTGCAAACTCTCTTACCTCCACCCTTTGTCTGTTACTCCTCAGCCCCCAGGTCCACCAAGCAGTCAGCACCTTCGTTTCTCTCTGTCCAAATGATCCCAACTGGAATCACGTGAGTGATCCACCAGAATTCTTCTTGTCCACAGGTTCCTAGGTATCAGATCTTCTTGTTGCCCCCCTCCCCCGCCCCGTGCTTAATGTGCAACAAAGACACAGGTCAGCTCTGTACCATGAGTGAGCTCCCCATGGCTGATACATCTTAACAAAACACAAGTGGTACCAGAAGTCACTGCTAACAGCCCCTTAGAGGCTGCAGAAGAGACATTGCACCTTAGCTTAGATTTGCACTACACCCACACTGTGTCCCCATCCTTCCTCCAAAAGCTTCATCAGATTCTAGCATTTTCTAGCAGACCTTATCCATGGGGACCAATAATAGCCTTCCCAGGTAAAAAGTCGGGGCTAGCTTCCTCACACTCCCAGTTCAGAAATACAGATGGTGGGAGCTGGGGGTCAAATGGCCAACATCCCATCCAGGGCTGCAATCCGCAGCCAATGCTCGGGTCAGGCACTCTCTGATCACACTCATCACCAACCCTGCCATTAGTGAATGCAAACCCGTACTTACAATCAAAGTGGATTGTGTGACCAGGAGGCTGAGTGCTTCCAGGAACACTGGCCACGTCCCTGTCTCTGTCAGCCTCCTCCACTCCACAGCATCTGTGAGCTCAGCAGTGAGGCCTGTGACATCAGGGACTGGGACACTCCCATTCCTCTCCCTCTCCCCTCTCAGTGTCATCTCTAGCAATTAAGCATGAGGCTCTCCCTGCTTTCCAATGATGAAGTTAAGGTCTCGGGGCCAAAGATTTTCTATTTTAAAATAGAAGTGCATGTGGTTGGCTATGTTACAAGCTTGGAGCAAACAGCTTGCATTTGGCATCAAGGGCTCTAACTTGGTGCCATCAGCCCAGAGGGCTGACCCCTTGGGGCATGCAGGTTGATGGTCAGCAGTGTTGTGTAGGGTAAGCATGGGGGGCTACTCACAGACACACAGATGCAAAGCTATGAGTCGTTGTCGCACAAAGGCTAAGCAAAGCCAATGCAGAGGCCCTAAACATTGGTAAGGAAACAGGACATTGGAAGGAAAGCCGGTCACTTACATTATATGTTGCAACTACACCTAAACTAAGTCATTCAACAAAACACAATGGTTTCCAGGATTGGGGGGCGGGTTGCTAAGTGGGTAGAGTACTCACTGTGCAAACATGAGGACCTGAGTTCTGATCCCACGGAAAATGCTGATCATGTTGACACATGCTTGTAATCCTTATGCTGGGGAGGAAGAGACAAGAAGACTTCTGAAGCTCACAAATCAGCCAGCCCAGTCTATTCGGTGACTTCAGGTTCAGGGAGAGAACCTATCCCCAAAACTAAGGTAGAACTGGGTGTGATGGCACACACCTTTAGTCCTAGCACTCAGGAGGCAGAGGCAGATGAATCTCTGTGAGTTCCAGGCCAGCCAGGTCTACACAGTGATACCTTGACTCAGAAAGAAATCAAAAAACAGGTGGAGAGAGACTGAGACTAGGAAATGATACATAACGTTATCTCTGGCCTCCACGTGTTCATGCGTGCATACCCCACGTGTACATACAGATATGCACGCAGCCATTTCTGACCACTCAGGACTGGGTGATGACAAGGTTCAGCAGGGTCTTTTGGCTCCCAGGTGTTAGTAGGATTGCCAAAGAGAACAACTGCCCTGGCTGTCGGAGCTCAGCTGAAGTCCTGTTAGACCATTCTCTCCTGCAGCTCATTCATAGGCACTGGGACTCCTAAGTGTGCATGGCAGCTTGGCTCCCAGGGGAGAAACATCCACGAGGATTAGACTGGAAGTGAGATCTCCTTCCCTCCTACTACAGCCTACCAGCCAAAGAAAGTCTCTGGCTCTCCCTGCTCAGCAGAGGACATGACAAAAACATCTGCCTTGGGTTGTCTGCCTAGGTCCACTACCTCTGGGTGTGATGACTGATGAGCCCCTCATCTGCCCTTCCCTGGTCTTACCTGCTTCTCCTGTCGTCACCAAGACACCGCCTGACAGGAGTGATGTAGAGGAAGGCTTTATATTGGCCCATGGTTTGAGTGGCTGCATTCTTGCCAGGGGAGTCATGGTGGAGTTCACAGTGGCCATGGAGTGTGGGACAACTTGCTCACATCTCTGTGGATCAAGGAGCAGGAAGCTTGAGCTAGAAGGGAGCAGGGCATGAGGCCCACCTCCCAGCTCGCCATTCCCTATAGCAACACCTGCATTCTAAAGGTTCCACAACCTCCCCAAATAGTTGGAGGGACTGAGTACTCAAATACATGAGTCTGTGTGGAACATGTCACATTCAAACTCTATTCTTGCCAAAATGCACCTCTCCTCCCTCAAGGTGCCTCTGCCAGACATATGGTCACACATTTCCAACAGAAGCATAACTAACATTCACATGGGTGCACATTTTACCAACAGCACCTGGATTTGATGCCTTCTCAGGAATTTAATCTGTTTTCGTGTATTTTGCTTTCTGGAGAGAACTTTCTGGGTCCTTTGCATGCAGCCTAGAAACTGAGCAGCCTGTGCCTCATTTCCTTGTCACACATTTCTTAGGAATCTAAAAAGAGCAGCTATGGTTTCCAGCACTGCACTCTCAGCAGCATTCACCAAGTGCCCTTCTCCACAACATCACCCAGTAGCTGCTTCCCTGATGTGCTGGGTACAGGCTCAGGTCCTCACCTCCCCCCTCCAGGGATGACATCATCCAGCCCTTACATTCTTGGCCTCCACTCACTTTCTGATTTCAGAGTCAGCACCTGACGTTCTATCTATTCACGGCAGTAGAACCTCACTTCTAGTACCTAACAATTACCATCAGCTGTCTGTCACGGCACCGCAACCCAATTTAAACCACAGAAGTTGAAAATAAAAACTGCCATTGACTTTCATGATTATGAAGATTAACTGGGTGGTTCATCTGCTCTGTGTGAGACCCACATGGCTGACACCTGTTGTCACTGAATTTCAGTTCCAGCAGCCTCATTTCTTTAGTGTTACCCCTGGAGGTGGCCAAGCTATCACCTAAACAGGCAGCAAGCTCACAAGAGGGATCGTCCCATTCCAGAAAGCAGGGGCTTCAGGTGGCCTTAGACTCAGCTCACACTCATCACAATCTGTGTGTAGGTCACAGTGAGTCCCAGACCCATACCAGGTGCAGGAATCCTTTTAGTGGCAAAGAACATAGTGCTTTGATTTCATTTATGTTGCTGTGATAAAACACCCTGGGGAAAAGCTTAGTGGAAAGAGGGTTTACTTTAGCCCACAGTGCCAGGTTATAGGCGATCACCGAGGGCAGGTCTCCATGACAGGAGCTTGAATCAGCCAGTCACATCCATGTGCCGTCAGTGCTTGCCGGTCACATCCATGTGCAGTCGTCAGTGCTTGCCGGTCACATCCCATGTGCAGTCAGTGCTTGCCGGTCACATCCATGTGCAGTCAGTGCTTGCCGGTCACATCCATGTGCAGTCGGTGCTTGCCGGTCACATCCCATGTGCAGTCAATGCTTGCTCGCCCTCAGCTCTTCTCTCACTCGCAGGATTCAGAGCTCAGCCCATGACATGGTGCTGCCACATTCAGGATGGGTCTTCTTAAATCAGTTAACAGGCAAGATAGCTCCCCTACACACACACACACACACACACACACACACACACACACACACACACACACACAGTCACACACAGGCCAACCTGGTCTAGACAGTCTCTCAATGAGACTCTCTTCCCTCAGTGAGTCTATGCTGTGTCAAGTCGGCGGCTACAACTAACCATGGCAAGTATTATAGAATGTGTGACTGGAGGCATGGGCTCAGAGGGGACACTGCCCAGCCCACCACCACATCCAGGATCTACCTGCCTACTCCAGGGATTTTTCTATTAGAGACTGTCACAGAAGGCCAGATTTTAAAAAGAAATGTGCAGCTGCCATTGGCTCTGACACTTTGCTGGTATGACTCTGAACATTTTCTACCCTGAAATCAACATTATGGGCCCACTACCTTCACCCTACCTCTCCCCGGCTTTGTGATGAGATGTCCTCAATCTCACAGCTTCCTCCGTCTGAATCGCCCGTCCCCTCGCATCCCTCTTAAGACAATGAGTAGAATGAGCTTTGCATCTGATAGTTTGCTTTGGCTGCTCTCTCTCTCTCTCTCTCTCTCTCTCTCTCTCTCTCTCTCTCTCTGTCTGTCTCTGTGTGTGTGTGTGTGTGTGTGTGTGTGTGTGTGTGTGTGTGTGTCAGAGACAGGGTCTCTCACTGAGCATGCATCTCATCATAGACCTATGCCAGTTGCCCACAGAGTCCCAGAGCCTCCCCAGTACTGGGATTCTGACAGTGCCCTGCTGCACCTAACTTTTAGGTAGGTGTTGGGCATAGAACTCTGTCCTCAAGTTCATGTATGTTTGTGCTTGTGTGAGAGGACTCATTTTGGTTCTTTCCTTTATTTCTTTTGTTTTTGACTTTGGTTTTTTGTTTGTTTGGTTTGGTTGGTTTTTTTTTTGAGACAGAATCTCACTATGTAAGCCTGCATGTCCTAGAATTCACTATGCAGAACAGGCTGGCCTTGAACTCATAAAGATCCACCTGCCTCTGTCTCCCAAGTGCTGGGATTAAAGGCTCGCACCACCATTAGTTCTTAAAGGAAAAAAAAAGCCACATTGAAACTGGCCTTGGAAACAGGAAACACTTTGCCGGTACTAATAGTTTGTCTTCACCAACCAGTTAGCAGTGGAGTGGTACCCAAGTCCCCAGCCCCCAGCCCCAGCCCCCAGGTCCCCAGTTCCCAGTTCCCAGTCCCAGGCCCCAAGGATGGGAATCTAGTATGTGAAGTGGTAAAACTAAACCATAAGTTTGGTAGCCCTCCCTCTGGGGATTGTGCCTCTGTGTGGTCTTGAGCCCTGCAGCATGACCCCAGTGCCTCTGTTTCCCAGAAGTAGTATACATTCCGATGTACTTTCTTGCCTGAAGTTTTTTTTTCATTCAGAAACTCAAATGCCAGATTAAAAATGTGTGTTCAAATGTGAAAAAAAAAGCTGTAGAAACATCGTGTGCATGGGGCACTTCGTTACCTTCTTCATGGTAGGCGGGTCACAGAATCCAAGAAGCAAGGGCAGACACAGGCCAAGGATCAAGTCCAAGGATCAAGTCCAAGACCAGCCTGGGCTGCAGAGTGAGGCTCAGTCTCAGAGCAGAACAAAACAAAACCCAAAGGTGCTACTAAACTTCTAGAAGTTCAAAGTCCTAATCCAGCCTGGAGAGCAGCTGGAATAAGGCACCATCCAGCCTGCAGCCCCCTGGGACCTTAGTTCTCCATCTAACAAAGACTGTCAGACTCAGTTAGCAGGTCTCAACTTTGGGGATGTTTAGAATCTTCTAGAAAGTTGTTTGTTTGTTTGTTTGTTTGTTTGTTTGTTTGTTTGTTTTAATGCCGATGCTGAAACCCCACCACAGACTCACTGTGTCAGTTTCTGGATGTCAAGCTCGGGTAACTACTATTCCCCCAGCGATTTCAGAACACAGCAAGGGTGAAGCCCCTCAGAGTGGGGTCTGTAACCCTTCAGCTATTTTTAATCTGAGATTCATTTCTTTAAACACAAGTTCAGCTCAAAGCATAATGTGCAGAGCCAGGGCTGTTCAGAGTGCCTCAAAGAGGAGGGCCCCAAAGTCCTGACTACTCAGTCACACCCAGCCCAGGGACCAGCCTCTACCCTCACCCCAAACACTGCAACCCACCCACCCCCCAACACACAAGACTTCTACTAGATCTGATTTGAAACTCCTGGAGTTGAGACAGTTTTTAAGAGCATTTGAAGAGTTCCGCCTTCAACATCATGTGACCCTGTCAGGGCAACCTACAACTGAGGCTTGTCTGTCTGAATATCCTAGCTCATCTGTCTTCATGGTAAAACCAGTTGTCACTGAGTCCTATCTGGCTGTGGATGGAATCATGTCGCAAACTCTGCCTAAATCCCAGCAACTTAGCCAGCTGCTAACTCCCAGATATACCCTCACTGGATATCTTGGTGTCTTGTCTCTCAGAAGTCAAGAGGACAGTCCCATCCTGCACTGCAGTGTCCACAAAGCAGCAGACACCACATTTCATCATTGCAGGAACTGCCATGAGGGGAAGATTGTTGCTGTCACACAGGAAATTAGGGAGGGATACCACTGCAGACACAGTGGAGGGGGGGTTTGTTTTGTTTTGCTTGTTTTTTGCTGTTTGTTGGAAACCAGACCTCAGCCAGGAGGTCCTACTTCTAGACCCAAAATATTTAAAACAAACTTCATTTTGCTGGCCAGGCTTATTGATGTTTGCCTGTAATCCTAGAGCCCACTTCTGTGAAGGCAGAAGAATCAGGGATTTAAGGACTTGCTACATAGCAAGTCCAAGGTTAGCCTGGGCTACATGAGACCTTGTCTCAAGAAAAGGAAAAGATAGAAAAGGAAGCAAGAGGGGAAGGAGGAAATTGGGAGGAAGGAAGGGAAGGAGGAGGAAAGGTGAGGAGGAAAAATAAAGACAAGAAAACCCTAAACCTTGTCTTTGCTGTTGGAGGTCAGAGGGTGGTTAATTCTGATGTCCCCTTGACTGGGCCTGGGATGCCCAAATTATATGTCATTTCTGGATGTGTCTGGAAAAGGGTTTCCAGATGCGGTCAGCATCTGAATCCTTGGTTCCATTTACCTGAAAGGGGTTTTTCTCTGAGGGCGGCCTGATCCAGTCAGCCCAGAGCCTGGGAAGAGCCAACAGGTTAGAGAAGTTGAACCAGCCCACATGCCCAGCCTGAGAAACAGCCTGGAAAGACTGATCTCACCCTACATTTCCTGTCCTTGAGCTGAGGTTTGTAGCAGGGTCTCCTCTGGCCCCCAGGACTTTGAACTTAGCCCAGAATACCATCATGGACTCACCTGGGCTTCTGTGTTAGCCAGGACTATTTGAGTCACAGGACTTACGGAATGACTCTCTCTCTCTCTCTATTTCTCTCTCTCTCTCTCTCTCTCTCTCTCTCTCTCTCTCTCTCTCTCTCTCTCTAAATTTATATGGTATGTACTGGAATGACGTACAGGCTACAGTCCAGATAACCTGACAATGGCTAGCTGTGAATGGAAAGAATCTAGTAACTGTT